CCGGTCCAGACCGGTTCAGACCGGCTGGACCGGTTCAATTTCATTTTAATCCGGTTTCGTCCATGTGATTAAAGTTCAGCCCGTTTCATGTCTTAAGGTCATTTTCAGTTAAATTTCTGGGATTTTTTCAGTTCAGTAAATTCATGTCCAATCAGTTCAGGTTAAGTCAATTCCGGTTATTCCGGATAGGTCTGAATATCATGTTAAGTTAAAAAGAGCATCTTAATGAAATTTATCAGTTAAGTTAATAGTCTGAGCATAGTCAATAGTAATTGTTTATATTATTTTCAGTTTGTTCAGGTATCAGCACTACCTTTCAGCTCAGCAGTTCAGGTGGGGACTCAAACTAAGTACTACACTGATTATAATTATGGTACCATGTTTGAGGTATGTATATTCAGTATCTGCTCGGAATGGTTGCCGGTCCATTCTGGGTTCTAGTGGCCCTAGTCTGCCCACTAGAGTGTGCACATGGTGTCCGGCTTTGCCGGCAGATGTTCAGGTTCAGTTCAGACGTGACATATGTCACGAGATCAGTATCAGATTATTCAGACCGGTATCAGATATCAGTTTCAGTTCAGTTATATATGCGAGGATCATGATATTGTTATTATTTTCACTGTTTTACATTAGTATGAGTTTCCACGGAGCACAGTGCCATAGTGCTCACTCCCCAGTTTCTTCATGTTTTTCAGGTCAGGACGTCGGGCCAGGAGCATGAGCGTGACGGGACGGGGACTTCAGGATATTTATATTTTGGAATGTATAATTATGATTATAACCTATGCTTCCGCTTATGATACTTTGATGACTTGTTATGATATTTTTGACGTACTCGTTTTGACGAACTTTTGAGAACTTATGATTTCAGTAACCGGACGATTTTATTAAATTAAAACAACGGTTTTCTAAGTTAAGTCATGATTTTTAAAGGTAGCACCCCGAATCAGTTTTCGCAAAGTAAAAAGGTTTTGTTTTTAAATAACTTTGCGAATTTTAGCGCACTCTGATTTTACGATAAGGAGGGGTGTTACAATTGGTATCAGAGCACGTTTCTGCGTCTCTGATAAGTTTTTCAGTCAGTAATTTTTCAGAAAAACTTGAACCGTCATGCTCACGCCCCGCCGACGACAGGTAAGTGCTGATTCAGTTTTTCAGTTATAAACATATTACTTTGTCTATGCTCAGAATTGAGGATCAGGACTTTAGTTAAGATGCTCGAATCAGGTTCAGACTTTAGAGTTCGGACATGACTCTAGAATTGAGGTATTCAGATATGACTCTAGACGTTAGGATCTTCCTATATGACTCTAGAGTTTTTCAGGTTTCACGTCAGTATTTACCGGCCATTTTTGGCAACTCGTCAAGAGATTTGTGTGCCTTAAATAATCAGTCAGTAATGTTTTCACGTATTCAGTAATGATAAATTTTCTCAATGTTCAGATGCCGCCACGTAGGGAACCCGATCATCAGGTTCCTACTCAGGCTATGGTAGTCGCTCAGTTCCGCGACTATCACGCCGAAAAGTTCTCAGGGGCAGGGAGACCCCCGCGTCGTTGATGAATGGATTCAGGGGTTGGAGTTTATCTTTGAGGTTATGGAATGCCCCGATAGGTATCGCGTAGTTTGCGCTCAGCTTCAGCTCACTGGTGATGCAAGGCTCTGGTGGAATGCCTACTGGAGCATGCGTCCCGGTGAAAAGGCGGGTTGTACATGGGATATGTTCAAGGAGTTAGTCCGCGATAAGTACTACCCTTCCTACTATCGGGTAGAGATGGAGCGCCAGTTCTTAGCGCTTCAGCAGGGCACTCGTACTGTCGATGAGTACGAGCGAGAGTTCACTAGACTTGCAGGTTTCGCACCGGATCTTGTTCGCACGGAGGCCCAGAGAGCGCAGTGGTTCATTGACGGACTTTACCCAGCAGTCCGTCACAACATCGTGGGACACGGGACTCAGACCTATGCTCGCGCAGTTTCTATCGCCCAGGAGGTGGACGCTAGCATCAGGAGGGAGGCAGTCCGTGATCGTGCTCAGCCATCTGCCCCAGCTCAGCCATTTGCAGCTCCACCAGCTCTACCAGCCCCTCATCCAGCAAAGGAGAAGAAGAGGAAGGGAAAGAGTGCACAGACTGACCGGAGGACCCGACAGAGACAGCAGCCGATTCCACCGTGCCCGACTTGTGGTCGACTTCACCGGGGAGAGTGTCGTGTGGGACAGGATATCTGCTACTACTGCCACGATCCGGGACATTTTGCGATTCGCTGTCCGAAGAAACTCCAGCAGCAGCCTCAGCAGCCTCAGCAGCCACCACAGCAGCAACAGCCACGTCAGTAGGCACAGAGGCCACCTCAGCAGCAGCAGCAGCAGAGGGGCAGGCAGCAGGCCAGGGTTTACGCGGTTGATCAGGCTGAGGCAGCACAACAGCCAGGTACTATGTCAGGGATGGTTGTTCTCAATGATATTCCTGTATTCGCTTTATTCGATACGGGAGCGATGCATACTTTCATTTCACGACGATGTCTCGATGCCATCGGAGTTCACGCTATTACCGCTGTCGATCCTCTCGAGGTGAGTTTAGCCTCGGGACGAAAGATAGTGACCTCAGCTAAAGCCTCAGATCTTAGCCTTTCCATCGGTGTCCGAGTATTGACTGCCGACGCGTTTGTTCTCGAGATGAGGGACTTCGACCTTATTCTCGGGATGGATTGGCTGTCCTTCTATCATGCAGATATCAGGTGTCATGACCGGGAGATCACTCTCTATCTTCCGGGAGACGAGTCGATTACTTTCTTCGGCTCCAGGAATCGTTCACTGCCTCAGGTTTTTTCGATGGCGAAAGCCACTAAGCTATTGCAACGAGGCAACTGCCAGGGTTATCTGGTAAGCCTTGTTGATGATTCTCGGAAAGCGCGGACACCTCATGATGTTCCAATTGTTCGCGAGTTTGTGGACGTGTTCCCAGACGAGCTTCCAGGAGGACCGCCTAACCGTCAGGTGGAGTTTTCTATCGATCTTATCCCAGGGGCCGGTCAAGTATCCAAAGCCCCATATCGCATGGCGCCTAAGGAGTTACAGGAACTTAAGACCCAGATTCAGGAGCTGTTACGACTCGGTTTTATCCGACCGAGCGTTTCGCCATGGGGAGCACCCGTTCTCTTTGTCAAGAAGAAGGACGGATCTATGCGCATGTGTATCGACTACCGGGATCTTAACCGGTTGACGATCAAGAATAAGTATCCGCTTCCTAGGATCGACGACTTATTTGATCAGATGAGGGGAGCCTGTGTGTTCTCGAAGATTGACTTACGATCAGGCTACCACCAGCTGAAGATTATGGAGTCAGATATCGCTAAGACCGCTTTCAGGACTCGTTACGGCCATTACGAGTTCGTCGTCATGCCTTTCGGTCTCAGCAATGCGCCAGCTGTTTTCATGGACCTCATGAACCGTATTTTCCATCCCTACCTCGATCAGTTCGTAATTGTCTTTATTGACGATATCCTTATTTACTCGAAGAGCCAGAAGGAGCACGAGGAGCATCTGAGGGTGGTTCTTGAAACCCTCAGACGAGAAAAGTTGTACGCCAAATTCTCCAAATACGAATTCTGGCTCCAGCGAGTATCCTTTCTGGGTCATGTGATTACTCAGGCAGGCATCGAGGTGGATCCTTCGGAGGTTTCAGCCGTTCAGAATTGGTCGACACCGAGGAGTCCGTCCGAGGTTCGCAGTTTTCTCGGTTTAGCTGGTTACTATCGCAGGTTTATCGAGGGCTTCTCCAAGATCGCCCTCCCCCTATCCCAGCTGACGAGGAAGTCTGTGAAGTTCGAGTGGACTGACCGATGTGAGGCGAGCTTTCAGGAGCTCAAGAGGAGATTAACTTCAGCAGCACCGGTGTTGACTATTCCCGATCCTACTCGGAGTTTCACTATCTTCAGCGATGCTTCGATACATGGTTTGGGATGTGTCCTTATGCAGGACGGACAGGTCGTTGCGTATGCTTCACGTCAGCTTAAGCCTCATGAGCAGAACTATCCTACGCACGACCTGGAGTTAGCAGCAGTCGTTCATGCCCTGAAGATCTGGCGACATTATCTTTACGGCGGACGTTGCGAGATTTTCACAGACCATAAGAGCCTGCAGTACATCTTTACGCAGAAGGAGCTTAATATGAGGCAGCGCCGTTGGCTTGAGCTGGTCAAGGATTATGATTGTTCTATCCAGTACCATCCGGGAAAGGCGAACGTCGTCGCGGATGCCCTAAGCCGAAATGTGAAGGGTGACTTGACGTACGTCATTACGCAGCAGAGTCCGTTGATTCATGAGTTTGCCCGGATGCAGCTTCAGGCGATTGATGCACTTCCCATAGCTGTCTCGGGGAGTACCAGTGCCAGTGTCAGTGCTATGCAGCTTCAGCCGACACTGAGAGAGAGAATCCAGCGAGAACAGGCTTCGGACGAGTTTGTTCGCGTTATGGAGGCCAAGGTTCGCGCCAGAGGCGTCCAGGATTTTCAGTTAGGTGCCGATGGTGCCTTGGAGTTCAGAGGCAGGATCGTGGTCCCGAAGGTCGAGGCGTTGCGAAAAGAGATTTTATCAGAGGCACATACCGCACCCTATCTGGCCCATCCCGGGAGCACGAAGATGTATCACGACCTGAAAGGGTCATTCTGGTGGCGAGGCATGAAGAAGGACGTCGCCGAGTTCGTCAGGAGGTGTCTTACCTGTCAGCAAGTAAAAGCCGAGCATCAGAGTCCGATCGACCTCCTACAACCACTACCAATCCCGAGGTGGAAGTGAGAGGAAGTCACGATGGATTTCGTTACGGGATTACAGAGGTCGTCTGAACATCACGATGCTATCTGGGTCGTGGTCGACAGATTGACTAAGGTTGCGCATTTCTTACCCGTTTCGATGAAGATGTCTCTGGACAAGTTGGCTGAGATATATACCCGTGGGATCATTCGACTCCACGGAGTGCCCGTTACGATCGTATCAGACAGAGATCCCAGATTCGTCAGTCGATTCTGGCACAGCTTACATGAGGCGATGGGCATGAAGCTAGAGTTCAGTTCAGCCTACCATCCGGAGACGGACGGTCAGTCAGAGCGGACTATTCAGACGCTTGAGGATATGCTTCGCGCTTTGGTTGTTGACAGGGGTGCTAAGTGGGAGTCACTGTTGCCGTACGCCGAGTTCGCGTATAACAACAGTTATCATTCTTCTATTCAGATGGCTCCTTACGAGGCACTTTATGGTCGCAAGTGTCGTTCCCCTCTCTATTGGGACGACGTTGGAGAGCGACGAGTACTCGGTCCTAAGTTGATCGAGGAGACAGCGGAGCAGGTCGAGTTGATCCGGCAGAGACTCAGCACCGCTCAGAGTCGACAGAAATCTTCCGCCGATCATCATCGATGAGACATTCAGTTCGAGGTTGGCGAGCCAGCCTTTCTCAGAGTTCGTCCGATTCGCGGAGTTGTGCGATTCGGAAAGAGAGGGAAGCTGCAACCTCATTTCATCGGTCCGTTTGAGGTTCTCGAGCGAGTAGGCGAGGTCGCGTACCGTCTAGCCCTACCTCCCGAGTTATCAGGCATTCATAATGTATTTCACGCATCTATGTTGCGTAAGTACGTGTGTGACCCCGATCATGTCATTCCCCTTACGGATATTCAGGTTCAGCCAGATCTATCATATGAGGAGCGACCGGTAGCTGTACTCGACCGTCAGGTCCGTCGGCTCCGGAAGCGAGATATTCCCCTCGTGCGTATCCAGTGGGATCGCCACGGAGCTACTTGGGAGGAAGAGTCTGACATTCGCGCTCGTTTTCCAGATTTTCAGTTTTGATGTACATATTTCTTTATCCTATGTACATAGTTCATGTATATCAGTTATGTTTGAATTTCCGAGGACGGAAATTTTGTAAGGAGGGAGGATTGTAATATCCCGATATTTTATCGGTATAAATTATGTTTTAATTCCGATATAATAATGTTATCGTTTATTATTTCGGAATTAATTATGTTCAGTCGAGATTACCGAAATTTATTTTCGACGTACCGTTTACGTTCGAAATAATTTTGGTAATTAAGTATTATGTTTAATTAAATCATTAAGCATAAGGTAAGGGATTAATTATCATTAATCTTGTCATTAGCCTTAATGTCGTGACTTAGGGAAATTTTCCCAATTTCTAATTAAAGGGCCGTAAGGTTTCCTTAGCCAAGGGAATAAATTTCTTCCAATCAAATTAAGTCATTTGTCACCTAAAGAAGGTGCTTAGTCATTTAGCAAGCTCATGAGAATCAAACAAATGTTGAGGCCTTAGGATGGCCACGCACCAAGCTCGTCACACCATCATTCCCTCTCGGCGAGTATATAAGGAGCATTGAACCGAAATTTTTTCCCACCCTTTAAACTTATATGTTCAGCTATATTATTACCCTTTCAGCAGCAAGTAAAAGTTAACCAATTTCCCTAAAGTTTCCATCAAAATCGCACGGCAAGGTTGAGCAAGCGCACGACACACGCAAGGACAAGAAGCACGCCCTAATTTCCGATTTCAGTCGAGCAATCAGAGAGGTAACTCCTCCTTCAGCTTATATTCTTGTTCATTAGGTCATTTTAAGGTTTAATGTTCGGAGCATATTCGATATTTTTAAGTAAAATCGTGCTTATAGTCGATCATGCGTAAGTAAGATCATGACCGAGTTCCTTTCGATTTTTCCCGG